ATCGTTTTATCTAGTGAACATTTTTTCCCGGTCCCTTGAAAAATACTCGATAACTAACTTTGACTTGTGCGCAATTAATAGGTAGAAAATTTTACTTTTGATATATAATCTTTAAGATAAAAAACTTAGTGATAATAAAACTTATAGATAAAAACTTGTTATCATTGTCGCAATGGGAGGGCTGCTTGCGAGTTAAATCTACAAATCTGCAAATAACTCTAAGGATATTCAATAAATTATTTTTCAGAAACCTTCCCAGTACTATACTAAATAACTTCCCAAAGTTTCATGGTGTTCCAATGAGTGGTTTGGTCAGGCATAAAAGACACACACACACATACATTCATTTTTATATATATACTAGCCGAATGACCCGGGAAACGCCCGTGTTTTACCCGACTGTAGATGTTACAACGGTGATCCTTTGGTCGCTGGTTCAAATGCGGCTCGAGGGAGCCGGCGAGCACGTGACCTCCCTGTGCGCGCGTATCCGTGACAGAGGCGGCCGGCCAATGAGGAAAGACGGTCGTGACTATATATATATACATTTTGTGTAGAAATAGGATTAGTTGACTTTATAAGGTAAACTTATTCATACAGTTTGTATCCCTCGATAGCTCAGTTGGCAGAGCGGAGGACTGTAGATGTCACAACGGTGATCCTTAGGTCGCTGGTTCAAATTCGGCTCGAGGGAGTTTTTTTTATTTTATTTTTATTGGCTGCCGGCGAGCACGTGACCTCCCTGTGCGCGCGCATCCGTGACAGAGGCGGCCGGCCGATGAGGAAAGACGGTCGTGACTATATATATTAATAATCCAAACTGTACCATATCATGGATGTGGTCTTGTTACCTTGTGTTTATAATCTATAATCCAATTGTACCTTATCATGGATGTGGTCTTATTATCTTGTGTTTATAATCTATAATCCAAACAGTACCTTATCATGGATGTGGTCTTGTTATCTTGTGTTTATAATCTACTAGACGAATGGCCCGGGCAACGCCCGGGTTTTACCCGATTGAATGTTTTTATTCAAATACTATTTGTTACAATTATAAATTGGAGCCGTGGATGTCACTCTTGTGAAACGTCCCGCTCCAAACTTTACATGTACATTAGGTCAGCTGGTATTACCCCTCATTTTCACCGCTAGAGGCGCGAGCGAATTGACTTTTTGTAAATATACATAATTATAAAGATAGAAGCTTCTATAGAAGATAATGATCATAATGATGATGCGCGCGCATCCGTGACAGCGGCCGATGAGGAATTGAGGAAAGACGGTCGTGACTATATATGTTATATAAAAGTATTATTTTATTTAAAATTATTATTTCATAGATATAAATACTCTGTTTAAATCGACCGCCAGAGGTCGCGCTTTCTCTATAAATACTCATTGTTGTTCTTCCCCGATTGGTCGACCCAAAACTTTGTAATTATGTAAATAATCTTTTCATTTTTTTTATTCTTACGCCTTAAGCCAGGCAGTACTTTAATCAAATTATGTTTTTCATATATATCACTTAGCTCAATTAAAGAAACCTCATATCAAAACTGTTTTTATTATTATTCTTTCAAGATTTTAGCCACGACTGCACCACCATAGCATAATCATCAATATGATGGAAAACAACAGAAATCTCATTCTTATCTTTTTTAAATGTAATATTAGTCGACAGGATTTTATTCACTTTCTACCAATTGTTTTGTTATTATTCACATTTTATCATTTATATGTGCATCATTTTTGTGATTTCCTTTCTATATTGGTTCCCACCCAAAAACCAATATTATAATGGAATATGAATATCACCACCTTTTTTCTTTCTATAAATAATTTTATCTTTATTTTTTAAATATAATATTTTTCATCACTTCACTCTGAATGAACCCATATTGTTCTCTTCACAGGGGGGGAATGTTAAATTAGAAAATTTTTATTTAAATTTGTTATATTCAAGTATTATTTTATTTAGAAATATATATCATAGAATCAAATACTCTGTTTAAATCGACCGCCAGAGGTTATGCTTCCCATATAAGATATCATTGTTGTTCTTCCCCGTTGGGTCGGCTCACACATGTTTGTAATTATGTAAATAGTATTTTGTTTTAATTATTCTTACGCCTTAAACCAGGCGGTACTTTTACCAAAATATGTTTTTATATTTCTTTACTCAATTAAAGCAATCTCTCCGATCAAAACTGTTTTTATTATTATTCTTTCAATATTTATGCCACGACTGCTAAACCAGATGATCCAAAACAACAGAAATCTAATCTTATTTTTTAAAAATAAATATAATATTAGTCGACAGGATATTTACCTGTTTGTTTCAAAATGACTAAAGCAAAAATTTTCAAATTCAACTATGCAAATTCTTCAACTAAAAATAGTTCATTCACTAATATTCAAATTCTTCTTCAATCAAAAATAATCCCCTCCAATCAAAAATAGACATTTTCACCTACAAAAATAGCTCATTTCAACCAAAAATAGCCTTCTCCAAAAACAAACATAGCCCAATTCAAACAAACATAGCCATTTCCAATCAAACATAGCCTCTACATTCAAACATCTCCACAAGCAAACATAGCCTTTTCCAACAAACATAGCCATCTCCAAACAAACATAGCCATCTCCAAAAGCAAAAATAACCATCTACAATCAAACATAGCCATCTCCAATAAAACATAGTCATCTCCACAAGAAAACATAGCCATCTACAATCAAACATAGCCATCTCCACAAGAAAACATAGCCATCTACAATCAAACATAGTCATCTCCACAAGAAAACATAGTATTCACCACAAACAACCATAGCCTTCTCCACGAGCAAACTTACCCATTTCCTACCATATCCAGCAATTTAAAGCAGTCTTCTCCCTTCCAACTCCAGCCATCACACCTTCCGACCAACACCAGCCATCTCCATCTACAGCCAACTTCAGCCAGAATACTTTCCAAGGTATTTTAAATCTGTCTTCCATACTACCATTCCCTGCTATTTTAGTTTTAGTATCCAATTACAATTCTTATTTAATTATAGTTATATTCCTTTTTATGTAAATCAATCTCAAATATCAATTTTGCCATAGCTGTTTTGACCTTTGAATTCCGCCACACCTTTTAATTCTTTTAAACCTTTTATTTCTTTGTATAATTCTATATCTCTCCTAAATATATCTTATTCCATATTTTATTTTAAAAACATTTGCAATTAAACCATTTTCACCATATCGTTTTTATAATTCCATATGTAAAACAGTCGGCCAGGAGAACAACAATAATAAATTGCATTTTCTTACACTATCAATATCTTTCAAATAATTAGCTAATATTTTTCATTGTTTAACATATTTCAACCTTTCCTTTTTTATTTTATTTTGATAACACAATCATTTCCATTTCTTATATCACCTAACAAATATGTAAATTAAGCGAGACCAACATATGTAAATTTTAACTTTGTTTTTTTTCACCTTGATTATTTTTTTTCAATGCCCATTCTTTATTCTTAACATTAATTTCATTTATCTTTACATGTTCATTACTTGGTGTTGCATTTTGCCTTTTTTTTACATATTACCCTTGCCTTTTATTACTTTTTCACAAATGTTCTTTTTTCTTATAATCATCCAATGTTTTTTTCATTTCATATTAAATATATATAACTAGACGAATGGCCCGGGCAACGCCCGGGTTTTACCCGAGTGCGTATATATTTTTAAAATGTTTTAATTAAAATACTATTCGTTACAATTATAAATTGGCGCCGTGGATGTCTCTCTTGTGAAACGTCCCGCCCCAAACTGTGTGTGTCTTGAAAATATAAAAATAAAAATGTGAACGAAAAAATATGTCCAGGGTAGCCTAGTGGTCATGGCATCTGCCCGGTAAGCGGAAGGTCGTGGGTTCGATTCCCATCCCTTGACACTTTTTTTATTTTATCCATTCTGACCAAAATCTATCCGTGAACTTCACACAGTGAACTTCACACAGAGAGAATAAGGCAATTATATAAGTAGATAATCCAAATTGTGCCTTATCACACACTATTTTTTTTATTTGGCCTTATTACCTTGTGTTTATAATCTATGACGTAATGCCGGCGGCGCGCGCCCGTTGGCTGCCGGCGAGCACGTGACCTCCCTGTGCAGGCGCATCCGTGACAGAACCGGCCGGCCCATGACGGTCGTGACTATATATATAATGGATGGATAATAATAATAATAATAATATAATAATAATAATTATTATTATTATTATCATTAGATAATGATAATGATCATAATGATGATGCGCGCGCATCCGTGACAGAACCCATGACGGTCGTGACTATATATGTTGATAATGGATGGATAATAATAATAATAATAATAATAATAATAATAATTATTATTATTATTATTATCATTAGATAATGATAATGATCATAATGATGATGCGCGCGCATCCGTGACAGAACCCATGACGGTCGTGACTATATATGTTGATAATAATAATAATAATAATTATTATTATTATTATCATTAGATAATGATAATGATCATAATGATGATGCGCGCGCATCCGTGACATGAGGAATTGAGGAATTGTTGACGGTGGAAAGACGGTCGTGACTATATATGTTGATAATTCAAATTGTGCCTTATCATGGATGTGGTCTTATTACCTTGTGTTTATAATCTATAATCCAAACTGTACCTTATCATGGATGTTGTCTTATTACATTGTGTTTATAATCTATAATCCAAATTGTACCTTATCGTGGATGTGGTCTTATTACCTTGTGTTTATAATATATAATCCAAACTGTGCCTTATCATGGATGTGGTCTTATTACCTTGTGTTTATAATCTACAACGCCCGGGGTTTACCCGATTAAATGCTTTTATTTAAATACTATTCGTTACAATTATAAATTGGCGCCGTGGATGTCATTCTTGTATAATATATAAATGAGTTTTAAAAATTGTAAAAAAAAAAAAATGCATCGGCCGGGAATCGAAGGGGGCGCCCGCGTGGCAGGCGAGCATTCTACCACTGAACCAAAAGCAAACGGTGACAGAATTAAGAACGCATGACGATGATAACTGTATATTATCCGTGACAGAGGCGGCCGATGAGGAAAGACGGTCGTGACTATATATAGTAACTAGCCGAATGACCCGGGCAACGCCCGGGGTTTACCCGATTAAATGCTTTTATTCAAATACTATTCGTTACAATTATAAATTGGCGCCGTGGATGTCATTCTTGTATAATATATAAATGAGTTCAAAAATTGTAAAAAAAAAAATGCATCGGCCGGGAATCGAACCCGGGGCGCCCGCGTGGCAGGCGAGCATTCTACCACTGAACCAAAAGCAAACGGTGACAGAATTAAGAACGCATGACGATGATAACTGTATATTATCCGTGACAGAGGCGGCCGATGAGGAAAGACGGTCGTGACTATATATAGTAATAATCCAAACTGTACCTTATCATGGATGTGGTCTTGTTACCTTGTGTTTATAATCTATAATCCAAATTGTACCTTATCATGGATGTGGTCTTATTACCTTGTGTTTATAATCTATAATCCAAACTGTACCTTATCATGGATGTGGTCTTGTTACCTTGTGTTTATATTCTATAATCCAAATTGTACCTTATCATGGATGTGGTCTTGTTACCTTGTGTTTATAATCAATAGTTCAAATTGTGCCTTATCATGGATGTGGTCTTATTACCTTGTGTTTATAATCTATAATCCAAACTGTACCTTATCATGGATGTTGTCTTTTTACCTTGTCTTTATAATCTATAATCCAAATTGTACCTTATCATGGATGTGGTCTTATCACCTTGTGTTTATAATCTATAATCCAAACTGTACCTTATCATGGATGTGGTCTTATTACCTTGTGTTTATAATCTACAACGCCCGGGGTTTACCCGATTAAATGCTTTTATTCAAATACTATTCGTTACAATTATAAATTGGCGCCGTGGATGTCATTCTTGTATAATATATAAATGAGTTTTAAAAATTAAAAAAAAAAAAAAAAAAAAATGCATCGGCCGGGAATCGAACCCGGTGACAGAATTAAGAACGCATGACGATGATAACTGTATATTACCCGTGACAGAGGCCACGACAGACGGTCGTGACTATATATATTAATAGATAAACTTGCCAATGTCATTATAAACTATCGATATTTTAAGTTAAAAACAATCAAATTTATATTTCTTCGAATATTTTATCGTGATTACATTAGCCTATACAATTTCAGCTAAATCGGTTCAGTACAAATAAATTTACGTTTTTCAGACAATGATGTTTGAAAGCCAAAAAGAAAAATGCTTTGGAGAGTGAAAGGCAAAATTAATTTTAAAGTTTGTTTAATAAATATTTATATATATAACGGAAATTACACTATTTTTTAAGTTAAGAGAAGGCGGATGATATGCTAGCTTGGTAGAATTGATTCAAACACTTGTTCACAACCGTTTAAACATGGCAACTTTAATTACCTGGACAGATTTTTAAACCGTTGACTATTCACAATATCTCTGTAATAATCACTCCAATTCAAGCCGAATCCTGAAATATTTCGACATACACACAGGAGAAGTCACTACTACCATCTTGTATTCCACCACCATATCCTAAGAGCGCTATGGCATCCCAATACAGTTCTAACTTGTCTTTACTGCTCTAAAACCGCAAAGAGTTGACCAACTCTTGTTTAGCTTGACAGCTTTTCTCAGAAAACTACCACTTTGAACCTATTAGAATAAGCAATGAGAATTCACGAATGCAACAATGCACTACTATTTTGAACCCATTAAAATAAGCAATAAGAATTCACGAATGCAAAAATACACTACTATTTTGAACCAATTAGAATAAGCAATGAGAATTCACGAATGCATCAATACACTACTATTTTGAACGAATTAGAATAAGCAATGAGAAATAACGAATGCAACAATACACTACTACTTTGAACACATTAGAATAAGCAATGATAATTCACGAATGCAACAATACACTACTACTCTGAACCCATTAGAATAAGCAATGAGAATTCACGAATGCAACAATACACTACTACTTTGAACCCATTATAATAAGCAATAAAATTCACAAGAATTCAACAATACACTATAACTTTGAACCCATTAGAATAAGCAATGAGAATTCACGAATGCAACAATACACAATCACTTTGAAACCATTATAATAAGCAATGAGAATTCACGAAAGCAACAATACACTACTATTTTGAACCAATTATAATAAGCAATAAGAATTCAAGAATTAACAATACACTACCACTTTGAACCCAGTAGAATAACCAATGAGAATTCACGAATGCAACAATACACTACCACCTTGAAACCATTAGAATAAGCAATGAGAATTCACAAATGCAACAATACACTACCACTTTGAACTCATTAGAAGAAGCAATGAGAATTCACGAATGCAACAATACTACCACTTTGAACCCATTAGAAGAAGCGATTAGAATTCAAAAATTTAACAACTACTAGAAGAAAGCAAGGAAATCCACGAATGCAACAATACAGCTCTTCTTTTTAGACTGGTTAATCTCAATTACACTATGGCCAACATTCTGACTCGATGGATCCCAGAAGGGTTATTTATAGTCAGCTGGTTGAGCTCAACAATCCAAAAGGCAGCAGTTAAAACTGTTAGTCTGTAGTTTGCAGTAGTCAGCTTAATAAGTCGGTTGCTTTTGTATTCCAGAAATTCCGGTTATTTCGACGATATACGTCGTAAGTATAAAATTTTGGGACCTTTTGGTTCCGCTGCATTTACTATAACTTTGCGATCAAGAAAGATTTCTATTAGCTTATTTGTGTGCGTTTTTTACTTTGAGAAATTTTCGAATTAATTTGTAAATATCTATAACAATTAGAAACTAGAAATTAAAACTATAGTTGGCGATTTGAAAAAGTAAAATAACCGAACATTTGAAAACTCTACAAAAATCGAAAAAAAAAAAAGATACGGAATTTTAGAATTTATGTAATTTGATAAATAACAACTGAAAATTATTTCTGATCTCTCAAATATAGCCAGCAACACTAATATATAAAAAATGGCGGTACATATTTATGAGAAAAAAGATTTAAAAAACTAAAAAAAAAATTTTGGCTTCTTTACAATTAGTATTTTAAAACAGAAATTTGAAAATCATTGTCCAAGTAAAAATTGATAATGACTTTCACTATTTAAACAAAGCCTGAACCCACTTCAGCCCAATCTGCGTCTGATTTGAAACTACTGAATGAATCTCTTCTCGAGACCAAGAAACTTACTTGGATTTACGAGGTTCTAATTTGCATATTTCCTTTCACAAATCTACTGTACCTTTAGACATATTAATCACCAGGACTTCAGTCCATGAGGTACAATGTTACGTGAAGAACTCATAGATTTCAGCCCCAGCTTTACAATAGTAACAATAAATACAATAATCCCCAACTAAATAAATAAATAAATATTCATGAGACTATCGCATAAACATAATTTATTTTGATAAATCAAGAACAGCCAACCACAAAAAAATATCAAATTGATGCAAGATATTACTTAACGACCCAGCAAGATTGTAATGAAGTCTTCTTTAAAGATTAACTCACATTAATTCATATACCTCTATTGTAAACATTGATTTAACTTGTTCTATGATATTTGACCAACTCGGGAAACCTTTTGGAGCAAATATTTGGTTCTGAGATACAGACTTCACCACGATAACGAGGGCCAACAGCCATAAACGCGTTCAGGGTTGGATTTTCTTGATTTATCAAGAAAATATGTTGGCCAAAAATTATGGAACAATTTAATAAAAGTTTAGTTGAATTTTGCTCCACCAAATGGCGTTAGAACGGCACCTGAATTGGTTCGTAATGACCAGATAAGATACAAAGTATAAAAATTATATTAAAAAAAAAAAAACGAATAAATGTTTTAAATGAGAGTTTTCATTCAGTCTCTATTTTTGTTCAAAAATTACTTGTACGATATATAAAATAGCATATATAAAGAAATCATATGTGATCAATCTTATATTTACATTCTGGTATAAGAGCAGTGTCTCTTGAAGAAATAATATATTTGCGAAGGAAATTATAATTAAAGTGGAAAAAAAATCTTTGTAATTTGTGAATAGAGCAAAATAAGATACATTATCGCGCCATTTGTTATGAGAATTCGAAACTATTATAGACGAGTATGATTTTTATTAATTCTTCATTGCAGTATGGTCAATAGAAAATTATTTAATTTTTAAAAGAATCATACGCGTCTATAATAGTCTCGAATTCTCAGAGAGAAATATATTGACTGAAGGTTGGAAGGATAGAAAGAGAAGATATACGTTTGAGTGTTGCTGGCAAGAGAATAAGATGTGAAAACCAGTTGAAACGGTATAGAGATAAAGGAACTGTCAGAAAACTGAGTACACAGTTTCCTACAGTTTTCCTAATCAATTAGAAAATTATTATTAAAAATGGCATATCCTGACCAGGAGCACATGTGCTTTACAGAAGGCAGAGCGCCATCTGGTGAAACAGAAATAAAATAAACATCGATTTAGCCTGTTCCCTGATATTTGGCCAACTCAATTTTTTGATAAATCAAGAAAAACCATCCACGAACGCGTTTCGCGCTTTTGGCGCTCGTCAGCCAGAAAGTTAATTTGACTTTTGTTTTCTGTGCCTTCAAAGTGGAAAAAATCTGCAAATTATTCACCAAATGTTGCACTGAAGATAGTGAGGATCTAAAGGTGGGTTTTGAATTTGTTTCTGATATAGACTATGCTCTGAGAGAGAAATACAAAAATTGTTGAAATAAAGAACCTTACGCTAATTAATTTCTATTGCAACAAACGCAATCCATTTAGTTAAAATACTTCCCATGAAGCTATGGATACAAAATAAAAATTATATCGTTGTAGCCTTATATCTATTGAAGAAATTCTAAATATAAATTTCAAAAGAGGGTAGAAAGTGTGGTCTAAACAGTTGGTT